TGGCATAGTATGGGCAGTGATCAACTTTGCCAGGTACTGTGGTGGGAATCCTCCCAGCATCCTAAGCCCCCAGAGGCTAAAACCTTGAAAGCAGGCTTTTCCAAGGAGAGAGAACTGGAGCCTGCTGTGTGGTCTTGTCTTCTTAAAAAGCAACTTTAGTCCGGCTGGTGTGGCCCAGTGGTTGAGCGTCGATCCATGCACTAAGAGGTTGCTGGTTCGATTCCCGGTCAGGACACATGCCCAGGTTGTGGGCCTGATCCCCAGTGGGGGCAATGCAAGAGGCGGCCAGTCGATGTTCTCTCTCATCAATGTTTCTCTCTCTCTCTGCCTTTTCCTCTCTATCTAAAATCAATAAAGGAAAAAAATTAAAATTAAGAAAAACATCTTTATTGAAATATACTTTATATACTATACAATTCACTCGTTTAAAGGTATGAAATTCAGTGGATTTTAGTATATTCACAGACATGTACATTCATTACCACAATTTCAGAACATTTTCATCTCTTCAAAAAAGAATCACTGTACCCTTCAGCTGTCGTCCCTTGCCCCCCCTCTCTGAAGCCCCCACTTTTCCATGTAAGCAACTACTAATATAGTATATGTCTAGATTTCTCTATTCTGGACATTTTGCATGAATGGAACCATGTAAAATGTGGTCTGTTGTGACTTGATTCTTTCACAAAGCAAAATGTTTTTCTTGTTCATCTGTGTTGTTCATCCATAAGCACTTCATTCCTTTTCATGGCTGAGTAATATTCCATTGTATGAATACACACGGTCTGTGTCTGTCTCTGTCTCCTTGCTTGGTTTCAGTTTCCATCCAACATCCCCAAATCATATTTGGATTTTGAGTTATCGTGTTTGTGCGTCTCTGAGTTTTTCAGACTTTAATTTGGAAAAATAATCATTTCTGAAAGTATTTCCTCAATTCACTTTTTCCTCTTTCTTTCAGGGAGCCCTTTAGATGGATATTGACACTTTATGTTCCATCCGTGTCTCTCAGTCCCTTTGCTATTTGAAAACGTTTGCACTGTCCACTCCTTATTCCTTTGTGATGCTTTGTAGGACCTGAATTCACTGCTCTGTAATATTATGGTCCCTTCTATTCCTTTTGCTAGTTAGCTCCTCTTTTTAAAAATCTCAGTTGTGTTAAAAAAAAAAAAAAAAAAAAAGCCTCATACTGACTTGAGGGTGCTCACTGTGTACCTCAACTGCGGTCCCTTGGCCTGTTCTTTCTGCTGCCTACGGGCGGCTCGGTGGCCACCCCGCCCCATCACATTGTGCATTCTCGCTGGCTACCTCCTGTTCACACAGCGCATGCTCGCTGGCTACGTCCTGTTCACACAGCGCATGCTCGGTGACTACTTCCTGTTCACACAGCGCATGGTTGGTGGCTACTGCCTGTTCACACTGCGCATGCTCATTGGCTACCTCCTCGTCACACTGCGCATGTATTGCACATGCCTGGTTGTCTTTTTCCTGGGCGTGCCGAGGTGTAAGCCAATAATGTTTGCACGAGAAGGAGAAAGCACAGGCCGTGCTGGGGTGTTTCTTCGGGTGGTCTCAGGGAGTCGAGGTGGGGCAGTACGGGCTGGATTTGGAGTGGTGCAGCTGGGTTTGGTTCCCAGTAGAACCTCAGTGGGCACGCCCGGAGGCCTGGTCTTCCCAGGTGCCTGGTCCTCTGCTCTTCCTGGAGCAGGGGAGGCAGAGCGCGCAGGGCCTGGCAGCACCTGTGCCGTCCCGCTTCCCGAGCTGGCTGTGCTGAGGCCGCCTGGTGCTGTGCTCTCCTGACCCGCCCCTTGGCATCAGGGCAGGGATGCTCTGCCAGGGGCGCCCCGAGCGGTGCAAAGTCATAGCCGGAAAGAGCGCCCCGGTCTGTAGCGCCGGGCCCTCTCTCTGTCCTGGCTGCTGTTCCTTCCCTCTGGAAGCCAGTGCCCTTCGCTGTCCGAGGTTGTCCTGTCTCATTAGGCTGCCTGTTGCTTTGGTGTGGCTGCAGGTCTGCGCCGGAGGGGACCAAGGCACAGAGTCCTGGACATCTTGCGCAGGAAGGGAAGCGTCATGCCGGCTGTCTGAAGTGCCTGTTGAGTGTCCCTCACCAGCATGCCCATTGAGGTGGGGTTGTTGCTCACACCTGAGCACAGTCCAGGTACAGACCCGGTGCCCAGCGAAGGACTGTTAGGAGAACGTCAGTTCAGGAGGGTTTCTCCATGACAAATACAGAGTTCCCTGAATGGTGTCAAGTCATGGTTACATCGGTTCAACACTTAATTTGTATGAAAGGTTTCGGAATCATTTAGATCCCTTTAGAGGAGGTTGCAACCCATAGAGTTAAAATAAAAAGGAGGAAACCACTAACATAATATAGTGTTTTATAATCTGTGAAATATTAAGCCAGTGGCGATCAGGGCTGGTGTTGCTGCCCCTTGTTGTAGACGAGAAGCTGTGAGTGACGGATGACAGGACTGGGGACAGAGGTCTCCTGACTTCATCTTTTAGAGACTGATGCTGTTCACTCTCTCCCTCAGAGCATCACTACCTGAGTGAGCATGGTGTTGGTGGCAGCGACCTGACCTGTGCCGTCTGTGTCCCGATTTTTTGTGCAAATGAGAGACAGTGATGTTCACCCGGAGTGTAAAGCCGTGGTCCTTCCAAAGGGCTTTGAAGCCCATGCTCCCTGTTCACCTCCTCTCCTGTTTGTTCATATTTCCCGGCCACACTGGGCCACCCAGGCTTCTTATGTTCTTCCAACATGCCAAGCAGGCCGTTCCCTGTGGGAGCGAGGCCTTCTCCAAGGTGGCCTCTCCTCTCTTCAAATCCAGGCTCAGTGGTAACCTCAGTGACTCCTATTTGAAAGTGCGGACATCTCATGTGATACGCTTGACTCTGGAAAAACGCGAGGGCAAAGGGTGCCAGCCCCCTGCCTGAAGTAAACAATCCTGTATAGCTTCTTGACTCCCCCCAAAGCTAATTACAGCCCCTCAGCTCCCTTGGGGGATTGGTTCCAGAGCGCCCACAGACACCACCATCTGCAGATGCTCCAGTTCCTCCTACACAGTGGAGTCTACAGTGTACAGCTGACCCTCCGCAGTCACCTTCCTAACTGCGGATCAGAAATACTGGGTTTGAGCCATGTTCGGAATCTGCGGGTGCAAAACCCAGGGGTACAGAGGGCCGACCATACATTTGTTGAAAAAATATCCAACTATACGTGGACCTGCCCAGTTCAAACCAAGTAGCTCAAAGGTCAATTGTATTCCCTTCCGTTCCTTTCTTTTCACTGTTTTCCGTGAGTGCCCAGCACAAGACTCTTCTAGTCCACGCTGCAGCTTACTGTTCATTGTGTTATTGCCTGCCTCTCGTTATAACATTAGGCCAGGGCCTGGCTTGGTGCACGTCTCAATAAATGTTGAATGAATGAATGAACGCAGGAAGGAAATTCAGTTGTTTAAACAAATCAAGTAATACTTTATTGTTCTTAATTAAGAAATTGGATATTTAAAGTCCTTTTAGCCAGGAGCCTGTATTTGTAAATGATGGGAAAATTTAATTAACTACAATTTGCTTATCAGTTAAGGTTTCTTCTGAGTTTTAATGTATATCAATTTACATAAAATCTACTGACCTTGGAAAATGATGTGATTCTGTGCAGGATATGCAACAATAGAGGTCTCTGTACATGCATTTATTTTAATAACACTGTTTAGTGTTGACAGCAAAGTTAGTATTCTTCCAAGTACTACCTGAAATCTAATTTAATTCTAGTTTTCTTTAGAATATTTTTTTTATGAAACTGTTATATGACCATTGAAATCTCAAAATAGGTAGTGATTTTTTTGTTTGTTTTGTTTTCACATTTAAATTTTATTTGACAGTGTTTGGGAACTATAACCTGTTTGCTTTACTTTAAAAGCTGAAAATTCTTATTTAAAAAAAATTTTTTTTAAATAATTTTTCTTTATTGATTTTAGAGACAGAGGAAGGGAGAGGGAGAAAGAGAGAGAAACATCAGTGAGAGAACATTGATTAGCCACCTCCTGCATGTGCCCTGACCGGAAATCAAACTGGCAACCTCTTGGTGCATGGGTCGACGCTCAACCACTGAGCCACACCGGCTGGGCTGAAAATTCTTATTTTATAATCACTTTATTTGTTTTAAAATGATGTAGCATGGTAACACCTACAGAAGTATTTTGAAAAGCAGCACTATTTTATGCTGGGTATTGTGCAGATTTTACCCCCTTAACAAGTGGAACCAAATAACCGCAGCTACTTATTTGTCGTCAATGTGCAAAAATATTGTATTTTTTATTTTTTAATTATAGCTGATGTACAATATTATATTAGTTTCAGATGTACAACATAGTGATCTGACATTTATGTACCTTACAAGTGATCATGTTAAGTCTAGTAACCATCTGCCACCGAATAAGTTACTACACTATTATTGATTATATTTCCTATGCTGTATGTCACTCCTAGGACTTACTTTTTAGCTGAAAGTTTGTGCCTCTCAATCCCTTCACCTTTCTCACACATTCCCCACTCCCTCACCACAGGCAGCCATCGAGTTGTTTTCTGCAGTGTTTGATGTCACATTGATATTTACATATTTTTAATGACAGACCATGTTTTTATTTTCATATTTTAGAGCATTAGTTCTAATCCTTTTATGATTATATATTCAACATTTTATTTTTCTTTATTGATTTTAGAGAAAGAGGAAGGGAGAGGGAGAGAGATAGAAACATCGATGAGAGAACATCGATTGGCTGCCTCCTGCATGCCCCCCACTGGGGATCTGGCACACAACCTGGGCATGTGCCCTGACCGGGGATCGAACCGGCAGCCTCTTAGTGCAGGGTCGATACTCAGCCACTGAGCCACACCAGCCAGGCTGTATTCAACATTTAAATATATACTCAATATTTGTGGTGAAATAGTGAAGTTTTCTTGATAGGCCTTTACCTTTATGTAAACCTTTTTTGTTGTCGTTGTAGAGTTGCTTTGAGGTCACGTGGAGATGAAGTATGGAGTCGCCTTTGATAACTTCACCTGAGAAAGAGAGAAATGCAAAGGTCATAAGGAAAACCAGTGACCAAAGAAATCATGCTGGAAGTTAGCGCTACACCTTCTTCGGACCATCAAGACAACGGCTTGTGCTGTAAAGAAAATGATTTGTTTGTCAACATTATTTTTTTTATCAGTTTAAAAAAATCTTTTTTTTAAGCTACATAAATCTCTCTTAAAATTCAACACATATAAAAACCTGTAAGGCCTTGTTTAAAACAGCCTTCCCTTTTAGTTTTCAGACGTACTGTTTCTGTACCCTGTTTTTACTGGACAAAGTCCTCAAAATCGACAGCACCAGGGCAGAGATGGACTGGGAAGCGTGCGTCATTGTAACAGACTGCAGGGGATCCACGTGGACCGTTCACGATGTCATCTCTGTGATCAGAAACGCCACATAAGAGTATAATTCTCAGCTTTAATGCCAACAGAGTTGCTTGGAAATGGCATGGGTGAAGTTCCTACGGAAGCCCGGCGGCAACCTGGGGAAAGTGTACCAGCCTGGGAGCATGCTGTCGCTGGCCCCCACCGTGGGCTTGTTCAACGAGCCCGGGCAGAACAGCTGCTTCCTGAACAGCGCGGTGCAGGTGAGGCCGACTCCTCCTCCTCCTCTGCTGTGAGCCTGCCTTTCTGAGCTGCTCTGGTTAATGTTTCTTTAACTTGTACATCGAGACTAGCGTTGTTATTGACTGCAGTGTCTTTTTTTTTTTTCCGTCCTCACCCTAGGATATATATATATATATATATATATATATTTTTTTTTTTTTTTTTTCATTTATCTTCAGACAGAGTGGGAGGGAGAGAGGAAAGAAGAGAGAGACACCGACTGGCTGCCTCCTGCTTGACCCCAACTGGGGCCAGGGACGAATTGCAACCGAGGTACGTGCCCTTGGCCGGAGTTGAACCCGGGACTCTTTGGTCTGCAGGTCGATGCTGTAACTGCTGAGCCACAATGGCCAGGGCTGCAATGTCTTTTTATTATCACTTCTAATGGTGGCAAACATATTTTGGCTAGGCATTCTGGTTATTATAACAAATGGGATTTTTTTCACTAAACTATGTATTACTATGATATAAAAATAATTTATAATATCAGTTAGTAAATTAAGAATGTTTCTAGAATACATAAAATTTATTTTGAACCAGCTAATCTAAGCCCCTCTCCCTCCTGCACATAAACATATTTAAAAAGAAATTCAGTAGAATCCCCATAAATAGCAGAAAGAGAAGCAAGGTGTTCAGGTCGAAAGGAGAATGCGGGTTTCAATACCAGTTCTCCAGCTTCCTCACCCCTCACTGTGGCCTTGACTCACTTCTGTGGACTCAGAACGGGGACACCGCTGTTTTGTTTTTTTAAATTGAAGGTTGATCCATTTTGCTTGGGTTCTTATAGAAATTCTCATAATTAACAAGTATGTGTTTACCCGCTTTTCTGTCTTAGATAAATGTCCTTTCTTACGTATAGCACAGTTCTGTTCACCAGTGGCAGATTTTCCCGATCCTGTACGAGGAGGACTCAGAATATTGGGATATCAGTCTGCTGACCCTAGAATATCCCTTAGAAGAATTTATTTAAAATAAACCCTTTTTTTCATATATCTTCCAAAGCTATTTTTCCTCCTGAAAACTGGAGTAGAAAGATAAGTATTGGTTAATTAACTCCTTTGGTAAAGGAACACATCTAGAATGCTTAGACATCTGAGGGAGGACCCATGTGGACACAGTGAGGAAGATGAGGGCGTGTTCCTACGGGAATGTATTTCTTTAATGAACATTTCATTGACGTCTGCCACAAAGGTCATTTACACGATGTGTGTAGTTCTCGTCCCTGGTGCTCAGCTCCCTGTGTCCCAGCCTCATGCCTGGTCACTTCTGCCAGCAGGACTTCTCCCCATTTCCAGTAGTGCAAGCTGTCTATCGGCAACGGGTTCTTGCAGCTTTTGTTGTCTGGAAGAAAAATCAACTGCATTTTGTTTTGGAAAGATGTTTTCACCCATCGACGACATCAGGTTGACCACTTTCTCTCCAGTGCCCGAAAGGTTCTCTGCACCTCTGCGTGGGCCTTGGTCCTTTTCACAGGTGAAGCCAGTAGGTTCTGCTGTGCTTTGGCCTAGTCTTCTCGTAGTGGCTCCTTTGAGCACTGGTCATCTCTGTAATGGATTGTGGAAACCCTGACCATTGTGTGGCAGGTTTTCCTGCCCCCCCCCCCCCCCCCCCCCCCCCCCCCGGATTGCACTCACCACCCAGCTGCTGCAACGGTGATCACAGCAGCAGAGAGCAGCTGGTGCCCTTGCCTGCCAGGGATGCCCAGCCCTGCTCCCAGCACTTGACAGGTTCGAGCCTCAGGAGAACTCTGCAGCCCGATTATCCCCAAGGTAGAGATTTCGGGTCTTTCAGAGGGATGCTAAGTACCAGGCTGATGTGTTTAAACAATCCTAGTCTTTCCTGTCTGCTTTGTGTTTGTATTTTAGCAGCAAATGGTGACTGAATAGTTGTAGCAAATGCGTTTAGGTTATTTCTTAACCACTCTTCGTACCACACTGTGTCCTGTTACCAGCCAGGTGCCCCTTGGGGTCCACTGAGCGCACAGGCCTCTGCTCACTTGTCTTCTTGCTCACCCCGTCTTGACCCCTGTTTGCTACACCCTGGTCTCAAGTCCAATTGTATTTCCTCTCTAGATTTCAGTTTGTTCCAAGTATTATAATCACTTCCTCTTTCGTGTCTCTGCCAAGTCCTCCGTCCAGTAACCAGCGTCCTGTTCATGTGGAGGCCGTGCCCGAGGAACCCGTTTTCCCTCGCTCCACATGGTCCCAGCATGTCCGTGCAAACCCGTGGCGGTCACGTCTAAGCTGCCCTTTACCGATGCCCCTGTCCACGGCCTTCCCTGCTGCTGCTGTGCTCAGTGGTTGTGTCTGAGTGGGTCCAGGGAGCAGGGGCGCTGTTAGCTGTCTGCAGTTTCAAAGACATTCTAGTCTCCGGCCCTGGCCGGTTTGGCTCAGCGGTAGAGCGTCGGCCCTCGGACCAATGAGTCACAGGTTTCCTTCCGGTCAAGGGCACGTACCTTGGAGGGTCATGCGGGAGACAGCCAGTCGATGTGGCCCTCTCACATTGATGTTTCTCTCTCTCTCCCCCCACCCCCACTCTGAAGGTAAATAGGAAAATATCCTCGGGTGAGGATTTAAAAAATATATAAGTAAATAAAGACATCTTAGTGTGTTTTGTCACAGAGAGCAAACCCTGACTGTGTCACCCCTGCCGCAGGTGCTGTGGCAGCTGGACGTTTTCCGGAGGAGCCTGCGGGCTCTGAGCGGGCACGCGTGCGAGGGCGACGCCTGCATATTCTGTGCGCTGAAGGTAGCTCGGCTCGGGAAGGGGGCTGCGGTCGTCCCGCCAGATGGCTGATGTCACTTCCTGCTTTCTGCGATTTCTTTGACATGTTTTATTAGCTTATTTGTAATCAAAGTCTATTGTCTAGTGATTTATACTTAAACTGTTAAAGCAGGACTTGCTCAGGTTCATGTTTTCATTTCTCACTTCTACATAAGGACAGTCAAATTCTTGTTCTCAGTGCATGAAATTGTTGGGAACATTTACGTTATTTTGAAGTGATTAGTTTTAACAGGTGTTTTTTGAGCTACTGCTGAATGCTGGTTGCTAAGGAAACAGCAGTCAACAAAAGTGCTAAAGCCCCTGTTTTCATGGAGCTTCTGTTTTCGAGGGGAGGAGACAGCAAGTCAGCACCGTATAAAACACGTTAGGTGATAAAGCCTGCAAACGAGGGAAATAACTGAGGGAGGGGTAGACTGAGCAGCAGGAAGCCTCACTCAGAGAGTGACCTTTCAGTTAGGACCTGGACAGGGTGACGGACCTGGAGCACTCGGGAGGCAGGGGCCCTGAGGTGGGCGTGGGCACAAGGTCCCAGAGACCGGCTAAGCTGCTTTGTGAGCAGGGACAGTGCTGGGCGGTGAGCTCAGGGAGAAGGCGCGGTGGTTAGAACCGGCCTGCGGGGTTGTCTACACTCCTGTAAGGGGAAGGGGGCCCCAGTGTGGGCCGGCCTTCCCCATCTGTCTGGGACGAGGTGGCGAATGCTGCAAAGAGGGGAGGTCCCTGGAGGAGATGCCGAAGCTCCCACCTGCCTCTGTCTGTCCCGAGGTTCTTCTCGGAAGTGGCTGCTGCCAGTGAGCTGACCAGGCTGGCACCCCCCGGGGAGGCCAGGGCTCAGCGCAGCCCTCCCGCAGGACCCCTGCAGAGCCAGGGAGCTGTCCTGCCCACGGCGCAGGCCTGTGCTCTCGGTGCAGGTCTCGGGGCCTGGGAACTTTGAGGACTGGCTTTTCCTCTCTAGTGAGGCAGGAAGCTGGGGTCTTCTGAAGCGAGCAGCGATGCCTAGGCACCAGGCGTGCTGTCCGGACTGGGTCTCCTGGCTGTGGGGCTGAGCAGAGACCGGGAGCCAAGGCAGGGGCAGGAGGCCAGTGCGTGAGCAGCTCGTTCATGCACTGAGACCTGGTCCGGGCACTGAGGTTCCCCCACGTGTTCAGCCACTGAGTTCCTGCTCATTTTCATGTGATCAGATGTTTACTTTGGTTACCGTAATTTTAGTTCCTGTAGTGCACTTTCTGATCCAAAGCAGCTTAGCTGAAAACTGCCTGAGACCTGTGTCAGAGTCCGCTGGGGAGGAGTTTAAACCTGGGCCTCACCTCAGGCCCACCCAGTCGGAACCGCCTGAGGATGGGACCCGAAAGCACTCCGTGGCCCGTTCTCACGCACTCTGCCCTTTGAGGGTCGGCACTGTTTCCACAGGCTCTGTGTGAATGTGAGGGAGACGGCTCTTAGGATGGGTTTCCGCGTGTGCTGCTCTGTGTCGCTGCGTGCAGTGACATTGCTGCCGTGGCTGGCGCTGAACTCACGGTGTGCTTGTGGGTTCGCAGACCATGTTCGCTCAGTTCCAGCACAGCCGGGAGAAGGCCCTGCCATCGGACAAGGTGCGGCATGCCCTGGCCGAGAGCTTCCGCGCGGAGCAGCGGTTCCAGCTGGGCCTCATGGACGACGCCGCTGAGTGCTTTGTAAGGACGCGCCCGCTCCCCAGCAGGTGCAGGTTGGCAGACGAGGAGCCTGGAAGGGTGGGAGCCGGGCCGCCGGCTTTCGCTCAGCCAAGGCCGTCTGCACCTCCCGCACTTCTGCTTTCGACTTCTATGCTACTCCAAGTCTCACCGAGTGTTAGGCTGCTAGAATATTTCTAGATGTAGTTATTGGAGCAGAAAGGTCTATTCAGTTAAATGATGTCACTTGAACCGGCGTCCCACCCGCGGGCCTACACGTGCACAGGCCCATGGAGCGCTCGCCCCTGGTGGGCAGGGACTCTCGGGGCCCCAGAGGGTATGTGGGCAGCTCTCGGGCAGCAGGGCTGACACACTTCACTGCAGGTCAAGAGGCACGACAGGTGGAGGCTCTGGGACTGTTGCCACCAGGGTGATAAGAGGAGCATCCTTGGTCAGGAAAGGACCTTCTGGAACATCCCAGGGATAGACATGCCGTCTGTGTTTAAGACACAGCATTGCTCCCCTGGGCCTGCTAGCCAGCAGGTTCCGCCAGCTCTCCCCTCGGGGCCCTTGCAGGGTCTCCCGTCTGACTGCCCCCCTGTCCCCACTTCTTCCTGCCTTCGGCCCTGCCCGCAGCACTGGGTAAGCCCCTTGCTGGTGTCCTTGCTGCCTTGCCCTCCCAGTCCGCTTTGTAAGGGCACCTGCTTGTGTGATTTTCTTCAGCCTAATGCTCCCTCTTCTGATATTTCTGTGACTTGAATCCAGACTCTCTCCTGCCACCTTAAACTCCAGATGATCTCTGCTTCCTCCCTGAATTTTCCCTCCTAGAGAGATGGTTACATTCCTTGAGCCTTTGCTCAAGGTCCCAAAATATTCAAACCTTTTCGGTTGTTCAGGTTCAGCCCAGGTCATGCCTACTGAATAGTGTGAGGTCAGAGCCCCGTCGGGTCTCTGGTCTCCGGAGAGCTCACTGTGCGTAGAATTTATCTGGCATTTGCTGTCACTGTTTTCAGTGAGCATCTTGCCTGTCCCTGGGCAGGTGGAGCACCCCCTTGACCGGGCGCCCTGCTTAGCATGCTTACGTGTTGGTGACAGTGTCTCAGAACAGCACAACAGTCATGAAATATGCTTCTCTTATCATCTTAATAATTGCCCCATTGCTTAAAATACAAACACATGTATTTGACACGATACTGGAATCTATAGAGTACTTTCTCTTAAATGAAATGTACTCATACCTGCTAGGATGATAGTTCACGGAGTCTCTAGAGCTCCAGGCTTGAATAAGTGGGTGTTTTCACGTGTCCTGGGCAGAGGAGGCGGCAGTCAGCCGGTTGGAGGGATCCGGGACTCACGCTTCGGCAAGAAGAGGGTTGTTTGTTGCAGCAAAGGCCGCTTCCAGGGCGTATCACCGACGGGAGCCGCCCCAGGAAGCCTCCCACGGGGCACGCTCGCGGCGGGGGGTCAGGCCGGCGTCTGTCCCGGCGGCGGGGGGGTCAGGGCGGGGGGGGGTGTCGGGCCGGCGTCTGTCCCGACGGCGGGGGGGGTCAGGGCGGGGGGGGGGTGTCGGGCCGGCGTCTGTCCCGACGGCGGGGGTTCGGGGCCGGCGGGGGTCGGGGCCGGCGGGGGGTCGGGCCGGCGGGGGTCGGGGCCGGCGGGGGGTCGGGCCGGCGTCTGTCCCGCCGGGGCGCCGTGGGTTAGCCGCGTCCCGGCAGGACTATCTGCTCCGCACCTGCTCTCGCCTGTGAGAGGAACACGCGAAGCGGGTCCCCAGCACTGAGCCCTAGATGTCGGCACCATGAGTCGATTTCTAAAAGGGTTTTGCAGATCTTTACTGAAACATACAGTACGTTATGTTTCTCTAGTTGACTTTTTTAAATTAACGCCGCGAACGGGGAGCGGGGAGCAGTAGCTGCGGTGACGACCGAGCGAGAAGGCCGACACTGCGGGCGCCCGGCCCGACCGCGGCGGGAGGCTCGTGGGTCGCGGGGAGGCTCGTGGGTCGCGGGGAGGCTCGTGGGCCGAGCCGCCTCGCGTGCCCGGGCGGCTCCCTGACGCCCTGCTGCCCCCAGGAGAACATCTTGGAGAGGATCCACTTCCACCTCGCGCCCAGCCGCGACGCAGACCTGTGCACCTCCCGGAGCTGCGTCACCCACCGCAAGTTCGCCATGACGCTCTACGAGCAGGTGAGGCGCCGCCTCTCCCCGGGGGCGCGGCCGGCTCGACGGACCCATTGAGCATCTGTTTTCACCGCAGTGTGTGTGCCGTAGCTGCGGGGCTTCATCAGACCCTCTGCCTTTCACAGAGCTCGTGCGGTACATTTCGACGACGGCCCTGTGGTAAGAGCCCAGAAAGCCTCAACCAAAGCGGTCGTGCGCGGGGACGCGCACTGAGCATGCGCCTCAGGACGCCGCGCATGTGGTGTCTGCGCTGTCGGGGACGCACTGAGCATGCGCCTCAGGACGCTGCGCATGTGGTGTCTGTGCTGTCGGGGACGCGCACTGAGCATGCGCCTCATGACACCGCGCATGTGGTGTCTGCGCTGTCGGGGATGCGCACCGAGCATGCGCCTCATGACACCGCGCATGTGGGTGTCTGCTCTGTCGGGGACGCTCACTGAGCATGCGCCTCAGGACACCGCGCATGTGGTGTCTGCGCTCTGTCGGGGACGCGCATGTGGTGTCTGCGCTCTGTCGGGGACGCGCATGTGGTGTCTGCGCTCTGTCGGGGACTCGCAGGTCTGCGACCGTCTGCAGCTAAGTTGCTGTCTGTCTTGGTTGGATATGTCTGAGTTAGAAAAACACATATGCTACTTAGTGGAATGTACAAAATATTAGAATGCATCCCTGTTTACGTAGAGCCAGCTTTTGCAGCTGCGCGGGAGGGCTCACGTGACAGGAGCCCTGGCCCGGGCTGCCCCTCACCCCACGCCCCAGGAGGCTGCAGGTCCATCCCTGGCCCGGGCTGCCCCTCACCCCACGCCCCAGGAGGCTGCAGGTCCGTCCCTGGCCCGGGCTGCCCCTCACCCCACGCCCCAGGAGGCTGCAGGTCCGTCCCTGGCCCGGGCTGCCCCTCACCCCACGCCCCAGGAGGCTGCAGGTCCGTCCCTGGCCCGGGCTGCCCCTCACCCCACGCTCCAGGAGGCTGCAGGTCCGTCCCTGGCCCGGGCTGCCCCTCACCCCACGCTCCAGGAGGCTGCAGGTCCGTCCCTGGCCCGGGCTGCCCCTCACCCCACGCCCCAGGAGGCTGCAGGTCCGTCCCTGGCCCGGGCTGCTCCTCACCCCACGCCCCAGGAGGCTGCAGGTCCGTCCCTGGCCCGGGCTGCCCCTCACCCCACGCCCCAGGAGGCTGCAGGTCCGTCCCTGGCCCGGGCTGCCCCTCACCCCACGCCCCAGGAGGCTGCAGGTCCGTCCCTGGCCCGGGCTGCCCCTCACCCACGCTCCAGGAGGCTGCAGGTCCGTCCCTGGCCCGGGCTGCCCCTCACCCCACGCTCCAGGAGGCTGCAGGTCCGTCCCTGGCCCGGGCTGCCCCTCACCCCACGCCCCAGGAGGCTGCAGGTCCGTCCCTGGCCCGGGCTGCCCCTCACCCCACGCCCCAGGAGGCTGCAGGTCCGTCCCTGGCCCGGGCTGCCCCTCACCCCACGCCCCAGGAGGCTGCAGGTCCGTCCCTGGCCCGGGCTGCCCCTCACCCCACGCCCCAGGAGGCTGCAGGTCCGTCCCTGGCCCGGGCTGCCCCTCACCCCACGCCCCAGGAGGCTGCAGGTCCGTCCCTGGCCCGGGCTGCCCCTCACCCCACGCCCCAGGAGGCTGCAGGTCCGTCCCTGGCCCGGGCTGCCCCTCACCCCACGCTCCAGGAGGCTGCAGGTCCGTCCCTGGCCCGGGCTGCCCCTCACCCCACGCTCCAGGAGGCTGCAGGTCCGTCCCTGGCCCGGGCTGCCCCTCACCCCACGCCCCAGGAGGCTGCAGGTCCGTCCCTGGCCCGGGCTGCTCCTCACCCCACGCCCCAGGAGGCTGCAGGTCCGTCCCTGGCCCGGGCTGCCCCTCACCCCACGCCCCAGGAGGCTGCAGGTCCGTCCCTGGCCCGGGCTGCCCCTCACCCCACGCCCCAGGAGGCTGCAGGTCCGTCCCTGGCCCGGGCTGCCCCTCACCCCACGCTCCAGGAGGCTGCAGGTCCGTCCCTGGCCCGGGCTGCCCCTCACCCCACGCTCCAGGAGGCTGCAGGTCCGTCCCTGGCCCGGGCTGCCCCTCACCCCACGCCCCAGGAGGCTGCAGGTCCGTCCCTGGCCCGGGCTGCCCCTCACCCCACGCCCCAGGAGGCTGCAGGTCCGTCCCTGGCCCGGGCTGCCCCTCACCCCACGCCCCAGGAGGCTGCAGGTCCGTCCCTGGCCCGGGCTGCCCCTCACCCCACGCCCCAGGAGGCTGCAGGTCCGTCCCTGGCCCGGGCTGCCCCTCACCCCACGCCCCAGGAGGCTGCAGGTCCGTCCCTGGCCCGGGCTGCCCCTCACCCCACGCCCCAGGAGGCTGCAGGTCCGTGCCTGGTCTTTGGGCCGATTCCCAGCGGCAGGCTGCCAGTCAGTGCTCCGATCGCCCATCAGTGTTTCTCTCTCTCCCTCCCCCTTCCTCTTTCTCTAAACATCAATGAGAACATTTTTATAAATGTCAAGCAAATGGTCAGGGACCTGCAGATGACTCCCTAATTCTGGCTGGGTGTCATCTTAGCGGCCGTGCCCCCTGTCACCCCGGCATGCCCCTGCATGGTGGTGGAGGCTGGGTAAGCAGGAAAGAAGGACAGAAGGAACGCAGCCCTCTGCTGGGTTCTCGGCCTCTAAGGCCTTGCCGTGCGCTGGAATGAGGAGGCGCCTTGCTTGTCTGCCTGCCGCCACTCTGCCTGCCCATGAAGCTGTGCTGGCTAGGGACCCCAGAATGTCCCAAACTGGACATAACAGGAATTGTTTGAACATTTCCCAACAGGTACTGGGGGGTATAAACACTTGATGTAATGTTTGAGTAAGATCATAAATGTTTGCAGATACTTTGATGCAAAAGCAAAACATGGGCCAGTAATTCTCAATCAGAATACGCCAGTATGCCAATTAGCTACTAAATGCTCGTTATGTTTTATCATTGTGCAAAGTGAATATCAAGTGCTCCTCCATTCCATTTATTATTACACTTCCTGGCTTTTTTGGATATAGCACATTATTTCTTAAACGTTATTGAATAACAACTATTTGGTTATTTGGATGTGTTTAGTATCTTTTTTATATATATGGAGTTGGGGAACGTGGATTTCGAGAAACATTCCCTAAATTTCAGTCATTTGCGGGCTCACTTTGTGCACTTTGTATGAAAAGCAGGAGATTTTAACCAAAGAGAGACTGCACAGATTCAGAGCCCCGAGACTTGGTTTTCTTTGAAACCCGGGAAAGAGGAGCACCCTGCGGCTGTCCCTGCGGCAGCGAGAGTCAGCTCCGTCCTCTCCCCGGTCCTCCTCTCCGAGTGCAGAGCCCAGGCTTGAATTCTAGTAATCTCTTTCTATTGGTCTTAGTGTTGAGTACCAGTTATTGAATGCTTACTGCGTTCCAGGCATTACGTAATTTGTCTCTTTAATCTCTTCTTTTCTGTTACTCCTCACAGGAGGGTATTTTTCCCCTGATACTTTCTTAAGATAAAGCAGGGGAGGGGGGGAGGGAGAGAAACACTGATGTGAGAGAGACACATTGATTGGCCGCCTCCCGCATGACCCCCACCAGGGCAGGGGATCAAACCTGCAAGTGAGACATGTGCCCTTGATCAGGAGTCAAACCCAAGACTCTTCGGTCTGCGTGCCGATGCTCTAACCGCTGAGCCAAACGGGCCAGGGCAGGGCAGTCACTTTCATCTGAACAAAAACACTGTTTTTGATGCCGTTGAGCTGATCGAGCTGCAGGACACTAGAGTGAGGGGGTTTGAGCCACGTTACATTTCTCTCTGGAAATGTCTGAATATCTGTGCAGAGATGCTCACTGCTCTGCATGTGAAAGTTGACTCTAGGGGAAGTCGAATAGACCGCGGCACAGGTGCCCTACGGGGCCCCGGTGACACGGCGAGCGCACCTGACGCACAGCCTGGCTGCAGTAGTCTGTGGCTTCTGCATCCCCGAGCACGGCCCTTCTCGCTGAGAACAGTAGCTCTCGAGAGCCTTGGCCGGGAGGAGCCTTTCCCACAGTGCACTGTTCTTGTGCAGTCCAAGTTTACATTCACACCTCTTAGCAATCTATGCAGTAATTTGAGTAATAATGTACAAGAAATATTTGACTTAGAACTGCCTTTAGATGGAGCATCTTACCTCCTTCATGCAGTTCCAGACGGGTATAATTTTATTTTATTCTTGACCTGATTTTTTTATCCTACACCTGCCACATTTCATGGTTTTTCACTTTATGGAAATTTATGGTTAATTTTTTTTTTTTTTTTACAAGAAGTTGTGTTTTAAGACAGAAAAAGTGATCCTGCGTGGGTTGCTAGCTCTGTATTTTTCATGCGAAGTTGGTCAGGTCTTTGTCAGGTTCCCAGCTCCGACCTGGGACTGCTGTTCTGTCTCGTAGCAATGAGGTTGGGAGGCTGATGGAGAGGCACGAGCGGCTGAGGCCCGAGCTGTTCGCGGAGCTGCTGCAGGCGGCCCACACCTCTGACGACTGCAGGAAGTGCCCTGTGAGTAGCGGGGCTCGGGGGTCTGCGTGACAGCAGACGTCCAGAAACTTGTGCGCGGGGTGATTACCTGTGCGCTTCATTGCAACTTCGCTTCTGCAGTGTTGTTTTAGTGACTATCCCTTGTGAGCTGTTTATCTCGGCACTGTTTCTTTAGACACGAAACTGGAAGGATTTAAAGTAGCATATGTTAATTCTTTTTATTTATTTATTTATTTATTTATTTATTTATTTATTTTTTATCCTCACCTGAGGACATTCTTTGATATTTTGTTCAGATAGAGTGGGAGGGAGAGAGAGAAACATCGACATGAAAGGGACACATTGAGTGGCTGCCACCCACACGACCCAACCGGGGCCGGGGACAAACTGCAACAGAGGTACATGCCCTTAGCGGGAACCGAACCCGGGTCTCTCCGGACCGCAAGCCGACACTCTAACCGCTGAGCCAAACCGGCCAGGGCTGTTAATTCTTTTTAAAGTTCTGAAATCTCTCATTGCACTAAAGACAAAATTAATTTCTTTTTTTTCTTTAATTTTGAAAATAGTATCATTCCTTTCTGATATACTGTTGTTAATGATTTCAAGGGTTCTATTTCTGATTTTTTTTAAGGCCAAATCCTTGTTTTAACAGATGTAGAAAAATACCAAAGAAAAGCACTTTGATTTAAAATAAACTTCCTGTTCAATCAGTAATTAAGATAAATTATTAGAAGTTTATTTTAGTATGCTAAAGAAATAAATGACCAGTGTATGTTAGGACTGTCACGGTATCATGTGAACTGTGACAGGTACTCTCTATGTCCTGTCTGTTTCAGCAACTCCAAAACTCACCTCTTGTGTTTTCCTTTAGAGTAACTGTGGCCAGAAGATAAAAATCCGCCGTGTCCTCATGAACTGCCCCGAGATCGTCACCATCGGCCTGGTCTGGGATTCCGAGCACTCCGACCTCACCGACGACGTCGTTCGGAACCTGGCGACGCAGCTCCACCTTCCCGGGGTAGCTCAGCTCCGCCGCCCCTTCCCGTACTTCCCCGCTTGTCCAGCATGTCTGCATCTGTTCTGTTGCGCTTGGTCCTTCGGAGCTAAACCTGCTCTCTGAAGGGAGTCACGTTCAGACGTCACTGTCACTGTGAAGTTAGCCCGGTCAGGCCGCCTGGGTGGCCTTTCCTGGCACAGACGGGGTGGGCTCAGCTGTGACGGTCTCACGCGGCGTCTCACCAGCCACAGTGGTGCTGATGTGACTGTGGCTGTGGACGTGCCCTGGGCAGCCTCACGGTCCAGGCTCGTCCCCAGCCCCGGCCACGCGTGCGCTCACCGCTGTCTGAGCCAGCCCTTCATGCGGGCTCTCGCTGCAGGAAAGCTCTCAGAGAATCATCTCGTAGGTGGCGTGTGTGATGCGTGTTCAAACGTGACTCAATCGAGAACGGTCGGAAAGCGTGTGATTTCTCTCACATCTTGCCTTTATGAGCGTAACGGGCCGGATTTGCGTTGTTGGAGATACTGTGTTACTGAACGGAGTAGTGAGTTGATTTAGTGTCCCCGATGGACAATTAGGAGCAGTGATTCTGTGATCAGTGGGGTCTTCATACAGATAGTGGATTAGGCAGTATGCCCGGGACATATGTTTATGGAGAGTCAGACACATGACTGCAAATTGTTGGTCTTCATTTTTTAAAAGATTCAGTACTAAATGTACATTATCAATTTTTTAAACAGCTTTTTTACAGGGTTACTGATGAAAATGCCAAAAACAGCGAACTGCACCTCGTCGGCCTGATCTGCTACGCCAGCCGGCACTACTGCGCCTTCACCTTCCACACCAAGACCTCCAAGTGGGTGCTGTTTGACGACGCGAACGTCAAGGAGGTGAGCGCGTGCGGGCCGGGCCTCGCGGGGCCGTGCTCCCCAGGGAGAAACGTGTGATACGTGCTACTGTGACAGTGACGCAATGGTAAAGTCAAGGTAGAATGATGTAAAATGAGCAATATATGTAAATACTTACAGAAAGTAATAAACGAATTTAGTGACAGTTAATTAGTGAAATCCTTTTATTAATTTTTGAAATCTGGTTTATGTTGCTGCTAACTGCGTCTCTAGAACAATAAAAGGTGACAAGCGAGTGTCAGCACAGGAACAGTGGGGCGTCGGGGAGCTGTGGCACGTGCTCCGCCCGAGACCCCGGCGCATTGTCTCGTGTGGGTGATTCACAGTTGCTTTGTACAGCTAGTGACAGAAATCTGCTTGTTTCTGTTGTCATGTCTTCTCACGCGGTGTGTGGTGTTTGGAATTAGGTATACCTATTATATCCTTTGGGAAATAATTCACTCAACTTCTGTAACAATATTAAAAAAACTAGTGAATAATAGTTCTTACTAAGGAACATGTATCACAATTGCCTTTGGAGCTTTTAAAACACCTCCACGCTGGACCCCGCCTTCTCGACTCAGTGGGGCAAGGGCACAGCCTGGATTTTGTTCACGTTCTACAGGAAATTCCGACTTAGCCACACTTGAAAACTGGTGAGCGGTGCTGTTCTCAGCTCGGGGAACTGGTTTAAAAATACACATTATCTCGTTGTTATAAGCAAATGATGTACAATTCCATTTGTTTTCATTTTGATAGATGACAAAAGGCATTTTTCAGCAATGCGATTTACTAAGTCAGTGCAAGTTCAAATATTTGGCATATATTGGAGTTCTGCCCATGAAGGATTAACTGGTATGGAAATAGCCCCTCCTGTATTATGAATTAGAAAACCAAATGGATGAAACAACTCTCTTAGACACTGGACAACAGGCAGCCGAACAGAAAAAGGGGAACAAAGGAGGTGAGCCCTACAATGTCCCTCTTCCTGCCCAGAGGGCGTTTCCAGGTGTCGTGCAGGGAGGGGACCGGACCCAGCCCAGCAGTCTCACTGAGCGGAGGAGCCCGAAACTGGAATTCATCAAAGCCAGGAGCTGCCTTTGCTGGACGGATGATCAGGAGGAAAGTCACGCGGAGGGAAGTTACAGAGGTGGAGAGGGTCCCCTGCGTCTTTGCTCAGTGGTCTGCCCCGTGCAGGCACACCTGCCAAGGCCAGGACAGAACCACGGACAACAGGGTCGAGCAGTCCCCGGACTCACGCATGGCCGGGGGCAGTTTGCATCCCCACCAGCAAGAGTGGACGGACGCTGCGAAACTCAAGGCCGCCGGTGCAGCCCTCGGAGACTTCACCCTGCCGGTGGGGTAACGGTCCCCAGACTGAAGATGCTCCGCCTGGCAGAAGAACCCACAGTGAAGTCTTCAGAGGACCAGGCTGGTTCCACCCAACCACAGGCCAGAACACAGCCCAACACTTTTTAAAGCAACACAACAAAGCTCAACACCCAGAAATGTGAAATGCAATAAAATTTCCATACGCCATTTCAAAATTGCATTTAATACAAAATAACTGAACATGCAAAGTAGGAAAATCTGACCCGGACCCCAAAGGAACGTTGTTGAACAGACGTGCCCACCCCACCGTCTGTCCTCCTCACATGGCGTGGGGAGGAAGCAGGCGGAGGGACGGGCACACCTGTTCTCTCAGGAGCTTTCCTCAGCAACTCGGCCTGCGCGGGCAGTTCCCGGCCAGCTCTGATACTGAGTCACTGTGAAAGAAAGACAAAAGATGATAGAGATGGAAGCACCTGATAAGCATATTAAAACCACTGCCTACGATCGACTGTTACCGAGGTGTGTCAGAGGACAGCCAGTGAGCAGAGACCGTAAGAGTAGCCGACAAACTGGACTTCACTGAGATGTCTGCTCCTCAGTGCGATGCTTTTGGGAGGGGAGGTGTCACAGCCGGGAGGGGATGTTTGCCAAGCACACGCATCTAATAAGATATGTAAAGAATTCTTACAACTCAGTAGGAAAAAGACAAATCAATTAAAAAGGGGCAAAAGGCCCGGCTGGTGTGGCTCAGTGGTTGAGCATCGACCCTGCACCAAGAGGTCGCCGGTTCGATTCCTGGTCAGGGCACATGCCCAGGTTGGGGGCTCGATCCCCAGTGGGGGGCGTGCAGGAGGCGACCAATCGGTGATCTCTCTCATCCATGTTTCTTTCTCTCCCTCTCCCTTCTTCTCTCTCTAAAATCAATAAATAAAAAAATAAAAAGGGGCAAAAGAGTCGGACAATTCACCAAAGAAGACAGGTGAATGGCCCTTGAAAAGCCATCCATTGTGATCGGGCACTGTCGGCTCTCAGTGAGGTTCCTGCCTCGGCTGCAGGGACAGCTACTGCTCCAAAGAACCTCCGCAAGCGCGGTGGGGGTGCGGAGCAGCCCGGCCCTGGTTCAGGCTGTGGGAACGCAACATCGAACAGCCGCTTTGAAAGGGGTGTCAGCTGCTTAGAAATGTAAACATGCACTTATCATACAGCCTAGCAGGTCACTCCATGAAAACATGTCCACCCAAGACTTCTCCTTGAATGCTCGCGGTGGTTTCATCCCCAATGACCCCAACTGGAGACGACTCGAATGTCCATCAGCAGAGCGGACAACCACATGGTGGTCCAACCATACAGCGGAACGTGTTGCTCATCAACAAACGAATGAACTACTGAGCGTGCAGCAGCGTGGACAATCTCGAAACGTTAGCTGACGCAGGAAGCGAGGCATGAACAAGCGAGCTGCCATTCCACTTAACCTAAAACGGAAGAAACGCGGTGGAGATCGGCTGCCAGGCCCTGCAGAGGGGGACCGGGGAGTTTGGGGTGAGCGGTGCGTGATGATGCACATCTGCACGGTGTACCGGGTAGTTTTACCTCCTGTAAATTGTTCTCAATAAAGCGAACGAAGTCTGGTGTTCACATTCTAAGGTCGGCTCTGCCCGAGCTCCTGGGCCTTTGTCGCGCTGTGCACGGAGGGGCCCGGCACCTGGTTCTCATGGTCACAGGGAAGGAGGCACTGGGTGTGGAGTCACCCTGCGAGTTGTGTTTGCTTTGCTTTCAAGTCACTCTAGTTCTGCAAGTATCTCCGCATCCCGGGAGCGGAGGGTAAACAGGGAAACTCGCGTGGTTGGAGAGACTCCTCAGACCTTTCTCATGGCCCCTTTCTTCTCTGCAGAAGCCAGCGTTCTAGAATGCTTCGTTGGTTTTACTTTATTTTAAAAATTGACTTTATACAGGTATAATTTATAGACATTGAAATGCATCCATTTTAAGTGTATGGTGAAGTTTTGACAACTGAATACATACCGATGCACCCTCCACAGTCATAGACCATTCCCATCACCCCAGAACTGTGGCGTGTTCCTGTCAAGCCCCCCCCCTCCGGGCCCCAGGAGGTCAGTGATGTTACTGGAGGTTAGTTCTGCTCCTTCTTCAGCCCTGTGTGAGTGGTCTCCCCGTACGGATCCCCGAGTCTGCCTTCCACCCCTGAGCACAGTGTCTCTGAAGCTTCACGCATGTGATACGTATCTGCCTCACTTCTTGAGTTATTTCTTGAGTCAACTTTTAATTTCCCCATTACATTGCCTTGAAATCTTTGTCAAAAGCCAATCAATCGCCCATGTATGTGAAAAGCTTTCTAAAATTCAGTAATCTAAATCTTGATACTGAGTGTGTAATTTTGCCCATCATTTTTTTAATGTTAATGTTTAAAGATTTTTATTTAGACTAGTTATTAAATAAAGTTACTCATAGACAACAATGAACAGTTGAACTGCTAGCCTCTGAATATCTTAAACATGTTTTAATATGCAAATTAATTCAGTCTGGGCCTTTTCAGGTAACACGTGATCACAGTTCTGTCTTGTTTTTGTTGCGGTTTTGCAAGGTGGGGACGAGATGGAAGGACGTGGTCTCCAAGTGCGTCCGCTGCCGCTTCCAGCCGCTGCTGCTGTTCTACGCCAACCCCGAGGGCACGGCCGTCTCCACCGAGGACGCGCTCACGCAGGTGGTCAGCTGGCCGCATCAGAAGCCTGTTGCAGAGAACATGGGTAATTCTTCCCCTTGTTCAAGTTAGTAAGTTCCGTCCTCACAAGCACACCGGGAACCCTGACAGACTGAATCCAAAGTGGACATTGAGGGTCATTTCAAACTCAGTTTAAGATGAAGTTTGGGAACATCCCAATGCTGGGTGCGTCTTCATAGCCCTCCCCTCGTAGTGCCCCGCGCCTCCGCGAGCCACCCCCCGAGGCCCGGGGCTGGGGCTCCTGCTGGCAGTGCAGTGTGGGTGCTGAGCGAGGCGGGGCCCTGGGGGAGCCCCCCGAGGCCCGGGGCTTGGGCTCCTGCTGGCAGTGCAGTGTGGGTGCTGAGCGAGGCGGGGCCCAGGGCGAGGCCCGGGGCTGGGGGCTCCTGCTGGCAGTGCAGTGTGGGTGCTGAGCGAGGCGGGGACCAGGGCGAGGCCCAGGGCTGGGGGCTCCTGCTGGCAGTGCAGTGTGGGTGCTGAGCGAGGCGGGGCCCTGGGGGAGCCCCCCGAGGCCCAGGGCTGGGGCTCCTGCTGGCAGTGCAATGTGGGTGCTGAGCGAGGCGGGGACCAGGGTGAGGCCCGGGGCTGGGGCTCCTGCTGGCAGTGCAGTGTGGGTGCTGAGCGAGGCGGGGACCAGGGCGAGGCCCAGGGCTGGGGGCTCCTGCTGTCAGTGCAGTGTGGGTGCTGAGCGAGGCGGGGACCAGGGCGAGGCCCAGGGCTGGGGGCTCCTGCTGTCAGTGCAGTGTGGGTGCTGAGCGAGGCGGGGCCCTGGGGGAGCCCCCCGAGGCCCGGGGCTGGGGGCTCCTGCTGTCAGTGCAGTGTGGGTGTTGAGCGAGGCGGGGCCCAGGGCGAGGCCCGGGGCTGGGGCTCCTGCTGGCAGTGCAGTGTGGGTGCTGAGCGAGGCGGGGCCCAGGGCGAGGCCCGGGGCTGGGGCTCCTGCTGGCAGTGCAGTGTGGGTGCTGAGCGAGGCGGGGCCCTGGGGGAGCCCCCCGAGGCCCGGGGCTGGGGCTCCTGCTGGCAGTGCAGTGTGGGTGCTGAGCGAGGCGGGGCCCAGGGCGAGGCCCGGGGCTGGGGGCTCCTGCTGGCAGTGCAGTGTGGGTGCTGAGCGAGGCGGGGACCAGGGCGAGGCCCAGGGCTGGGGGCTCCTGCTGGCAGTGCAGTGTGGGTGCTGAGCGAGGCGGGGCCCTGGGGGAGCCCCCCGAGGCCCAGGGCTGGGGCTCCTGCTGGCAGTGCAGTGTGGGTGCTGAGCGAGGCGGGGCCCAGGGCGAGGCCCGGGGCTGGGGCTCCTGCTGGCAGTGCAGTGTGGGTGCTGAGTGAGGCGGGGCCCTGGGGGAGCCCCCCGAGGCCCGGGGCTGGGGCTCCTGCTGGCAGTGCAGTGTGGGTGCTGAGCGAGGCGGGGCCCAGGGCGAGGCCCGGGGCTGGGGGCTCCTGCTGGCAGTGCAGTGTGGGTGCTGAGCGAGGCGGGGCCCAGGGCGAGGCCCGGGGCTGGGGGCTCCTGCTGACAGTGCAGTGTGGGTGCTGAGCGAGGCGGGGCCCAGGGCGAGGCCCGGGGCTGGGGGCTCCTGCTGGCAGTGCAGTGTGGGTGCTGAGCGAGGCGGGGACCAGGGCGAGGCCCAGGGCTGGGGGCTCCTGCTGGCAGTGCAGTGTGGGTGCTGAGCGAGGCGGGGACCAGGGCGAGGCCCAGGGCTGGGGGCTCCTGCTGGCAGTGCAGTGTGGGTGCTGAGCGAGGCGGGGCCCTGGGGGAGCCCACAGAGACCTGCGCAGGTGTCACCCCAGTGCAGGCAGCTTTGTCCACAGCGTCCACACCTGAGGAGGTGGACCAGAATCTCCCAGCAGCAGGAAGGAAAGGGACGATGTCTTTCCAGCTTGTAAGTCAGGTGATTGCAGAGAAAACACGCAGTGATCGGGCCCAGCAGAGAGAAAGGCAGACCGCACACAGATGGCACGTCGTCATGCACTCGGAGCCGCGTGCAGACAAGTGACGGCCAGGCCCAGGTGTGCGCATGGTCAGGTTACCTTGTCCCCGAGGAGCCCCGCGTGCCCAGGGCCTCACTCCCTGTCTAATTCCTGGGGACCGGGAAGGACCGCGATGAGCAGGTAACAATTCCGTCCTTGACGAGCGTGGCCCTGAGACCTGTCAATGCTCCTGGACAGTCTCACAACCAGCATCTGCGTCTCCCCCGCACTCCGGGCCACCAGAGCCAGAGGCGGTCTGGACAGTGGCAGGAAACCGCGGGCTCCGTCCTCAGGGTGCGGAGCAGAAGCTCGAGCTAGTCATCTGGCTTGTGTGCAGGATTAATACACCGCGGGTGAGTGCAGGGGTCGCTCAGAGCTGCTGCCGTGGGTCGGCCCCCCGCCCTCGTTACTGCCACCCAGCGACGGGATCATGTGGGGTGCCCCCGTGGGCGCGGCCGAGGCTCAGAGCCCCACACTCCACTCGGGGTGCTCAGGGTGATGTGTCAGCAGCTTTCTACTGTATCAGTGGAATTATGTCTAAGCGTAAGGTAACCCATAATCGGGTGGTGAGGTTCAGAATTAATAATTGTCATCAACAAAGGAAAACCATAACTGCTTGTAGATATTGTCAATGGAAATACACCTTTTCCCGCTTGTGTATTGTTGATGTTTTTAGATTAAGCCATTATCAGTTTTTCTTTTTTGTTTGTTTGTTAATCCTTACCCAAGGATATTTTTTTATTAATTTTTATATAGAGTGAAAGAGAGGGAGGGGGAGAGAGAGGGAAACATCGATGTGAGAGAGACACATCGATGGGTTGCCTCCTGCATGATCCCACCCAGGGCCAGGATCAAACCTGTGACCCAGGTACATGCCCTTGACAGGTAGTGAAACTCGAGACCCTTCAGTCCTTGGGCCAAAGCTCTAACCACTGAGAAACCAGCCAGGGCCATTACCTGGTTTTCTAGAGAAACCTCGTTTTAGGCCCAGGATCTGTGTATGTGTTTAAGAACACAGACACTACAAACAGACGGCCTGGGTCTATGCTCAACCTCACCAGTTATGTGACCTTGGCAGGTTTTTCTCTCTGTCTCCTGGTGTTGCACAGTGGAGACAGTGGTTGTGCTCACCTCCGAGAATGAAGTGAGTCGAGACACGTAGGAACCATCACTGACCTTTAGCTCTTATCATTTCAGTAGAGGGTCATGTTTCTCCCTTTATACTCGCTGTAAACACTTTACAGAAGGTGTAAAAGATAATGTGCATCTCCAGTGCTGGGGTACATCACACTGACTTGTTTTAGTTAAACATAAAAAATGAGTTGATTGCATACTTTAATGTGTATTTTGTTTTTAATATAGAGCATCTTAAATATTTCAGTTTGTATTTTTATGGAGCAATTAAAAAAATGATCTGCTTCATTATTGTAAGACTGGTTTTTCTTTTACAGTTAAGTCAAGTTACAGTGATCAAAGGGAAAGAATCAAAGACCTCTCCAGGGAATGTGCGTTGAAAGCCCTTGATCAGAAAAACCTACTGTCCTCACGAAGAGATTCGGGTCGACACAGAGGTGAGTTGAGCCTTGCAGGGTTCATCTGCAAAGGGGCTGCTGAGACTTAATCTGAACACCAAATCCTACAACGTTAGTACAGTCAAAATATATTTAGTATATGTACTTGTTTACATACTATACACCTTAATATGATTTGTCTAATACACCAATAAAATCTTTAGATGTAGCATTTCCTCCTTCTTAATTCATCTAGCCCAGAAAACTTGTGTTTGCTTTGCTGTTTTAACTTTTGACTAAAAGCTAAAAGAATTAAAGTTAATTTATTTAATTTTGTAATTAAAATTAATTGTAGTTCACTCCTGTGGTGCATTCAGCTTGTGAGGAAGGTCACAAAATAAATGACGAGCTCGGAGCCCTGCCCGTCCCCCTGGCCCCGGTCATCATGTCCCAGTCACTGTGGGCCTGGCCCCGTCCGAGGGCTCCCGACTCTTCCTGTGGACATACCAGGGTTTACCTGAGACCACAGACGTCAGACGCTGATTGAAGCTTTTCGCTGCAGTGACGCCCTCTCACGCGTACCTGCGCACTTTGTGTTGTGACCGCAGCGTGAAGTTCCGGGTTCGGCGTGTCTGTGGCTCGGGCCTCTGACCTGTGCCCAGACCACCTGGCTCCCTCTGCAGGACATGTCTCGTCCTCACACTCGCGGAACTTCCTGCCTCACGGGCTTGGATGTCCCGCCAGTGCGAGAGGTAGAAAGTGCTCTTATTGTTATGATTTTCATTAATCATAAAGGAGATGGAATACCGCTTTTTAAAAAACTGTGATCGACCTCAGAGATTGTTTTTAAAAATCAGCGTATAGGCATTTACTCAGCCAGCGCTTCTCCTTAGCATAGGGCAGAGCACGGTGTGGCTCCATCGCCACCCCTCTTAGGCGTCACAGTCTTCCCAGGCCAGGTAGAAGGCGGCTCTGCAGAGCGGTCCATGTGGTCCGTGTGTGCCTTCACTCACTGATGTGTTTCTAAAGGTGCCCCCGATGGAGACCCCCCGCCTTTGAAGCCTGGATCACCTCCTGCCCCGAATGGCTTCAGACAACATGGCAATCCCCCTGCGTCCCACGGTCAGGGGAAGGGGCCGCGCAGACACGAGCCACTGGCCCAGCAGGGCCGAGCTGCTGCCCAGGTGCCGAGTCCCAGTCGACCGCCGGCGCCGGCTCCGGGGGAGCAGGGGGCCGGCAGAGCGCGGAGCGACGGCGGCACTGGGTACGACACAGACAGCAGCCACGACTCTCGGGGTAAAGCAAGCAGCCACGATGGCAGCAGCCGGAGCCGGAGCCGAGGCTGGAAGCCCATGAGAGAAACCTTAAACGTCGACAGCGTTTTCAGCGACAGTGAGAAGCAGCAGCACAGTCCGAGACATAAGCCCAGTGTCGGCGGCACGCCCCAGGGCAGCAGAGGGCGGGGCTTTCCCAGCTGGCCCCACGGGAGCCCGACGCAGAAGGGCTTGATGACCATATACGAGGAGGAGATGAGGCAGGAACTGGGAAGCAGGAGCTCCCTGGAACGGGAGGGACAAGGAGCGGAGAGAAGCAGAGGCCCCAGGGAGGCGCAGAGGCCCGAGTCCGGCTACGAGAGCAGCGATCGCGTCAGTACCGGCTCTGCCGGCCTGGACTCCCCTGGTGTCGAGGGCAGTGGCGCCAGGGACGCGGCGTCCCTCAGGTAGCACACCCCAGCAGGCCCTCTTGTTCACTGTAGGAAGTGATTTTCAAAGTTTGGGGTCAGTTAAATGTAACGGAAAGAGCTTGAGCTCAGAGTAATGAAACCTAGGATATTCACGTTTCTGTTTTGTTAATTCTCACCCAAGGGTATTTTTCCATTGGTTTTTAGAGCGAACGGAAGGGGGGGATGGGGTAGAGGGGGGAAAGAGAGAGAGAGAGAGACATCGATTGGCTGCCTCTCGGAGGTGCTCCAACTGGGGCCTGGGATCGATCCTGCGACCCAGGTACATGCCCTCGACTTGGACTGGAACCTGAGACCCTTTGATTGGGCTGCCACCCTGACCAATGGGCCACACTGGCCAGGGCTCAAGTCTCTATTTTTAATAGTTATTTCTCAATTTCAGAAAAAATACAGCTGTTTAGGAAATTGCAAAGTACAGAAATACATTATCAGTGTTGACACTGAGAAGTATTGATGTATGCTATAGGGCTCAGAGCATAGATTTACATTGGTCACCTCCCAGTCACGAAACTAGTTGTTTCATTCTTCAGTCTATTCAGTGCTCACTTTGCCATCTCCCACGTCAGTACCTGAGAAATGGGATTATTTTACACTCACTCCCACTTCTGTGGGAGACAGTTTTCCTTCAGCAAATGAAGAGCGTGCAGTCGAACCCCTAGGTCGGCTCAGTTCACTGCAAATGTGCTGTGTCACTGTTAGCGGAGCCCCTGGGTCGGTGCTCAGTTCACCCAGATGTGCTGTGTCACTGTTAGCAGAGCCCCTGGGTCGGTGCTCAGTTCACCCGGATGTGCTGTGTCACTGTTAGTAGAGCCCCTGGGTCGATGCTCAGTTCACTGCAAATGTGCTGTGTCACTGTTAGCGGAGTCCCTGGGTCGGTGCTCAGTTCACCCCGAGTGTGCTGTGTCACTGTTAGCAGAGCCCCTGGGTCGGTGCTCAGTTCACCCGGATGTGCTGTGTCACTGTTAGTAGAGCCCCTGGGTCGATGCTCAGTTCACTGCAAATGTGCTGTGTCACTGTTAGCGGAGTCCCTGGGTCGGTGCTCAGTTCACCCCGAGTGTGCTGTGTCACTGTTAGCGGAGCCCCTGGGTCGGTGCTCAGTTCACTGCAAATGTGCTGTGTCACTGTTAGCAGAGCCCCTGGGTAAGTGCTCAGTTCACCCGGATGTGCTGTGTCACTGTTAGCAGAGCCCGGCGTGCTCTTCAGCACGCTCGCCGCCTGTCAGTCCTTAGGTCAGCGTAGCGCCATTTCTATTTTTAATCCATCTGAAGCATCTCAATCCAACATCAACTGGTGTTTTACCACCTTCATTATTTAAAAACCAGATTTGCGCAGATTGGCTGGTTGTGTTTCACAAGAACAGTCAGGGCACCGTGCTGTGTGGCAGGGTGAGTCCAGCCTTTTGCAGGGGAGGGGCTCAGGTAGTGGGAAGTCAGGACTGGTAACCAGGTAAGCTTGCATCTCAGCCATTGGGCAATGCGTTTGTCTTTCACGCCTTGTTCTGTGTAAACTGAAGGTGACGGCTGCTTGTGAGCTGTGGTGAAACGAGACGTAGATTGACGTCAGGCCCCTAGCACAGCACCTGCCACATGTGGTTAACACGTGTTCCTCTGGCTCAGAGTAAGCTGAGAGCACGTCAGGATGGCTGATGTGTCGGGTGTGTGTTTTGCTCTGTTTTCCAGTGACCAGATCAAGACAAGCAACGGAAACGTGGAACATGTGAACTGTACCTCCCAACAGAGTAAAAGCCACCTAGAAGGTACGTTATTTGGTTGTGTTATACTGTGGTGATACGAGTGAAGAAGCCCAGAGAGCCCCATCGCTGCAGAGTGATGAGGGCGGAATTGGTGGGGCTCATTCTCGGAGCCTGTGGAAGGCGGGGAGGGGCTGTTTCAGGGGTGGCAAGAGGGGAGGTGTCACGCAGGACAGGCCAGGTAACGACCGAAAATCCCAGGGTCATAACACGGTCTGTTTCTTGTTCGCGGTCCGTGTGCCGCTGTCTCCCTGATAATCACGCAGGACCCAGCTGCTGGGCCCCATGCACACTGATGCTCCTCTGATCACGACAGTGTGGGGGGTGGGGGGAACCGGCACGGAGAAGCACGTGTGTGTTCTTACAACTTCAGTCCAGGAGTGGTCCAGCCCCTCTCATCTCACGGGCCACAGTGGGCCTGTCAGCCAGGCCTGCTCTCCCAGAGGGCGGGAAGGGCCAGGTCACAGGTGCCTGGAAGCCCCGGAGTCTACCACAGGGCGGAGGACGCCTTCAGAGCTGGAGGCGTGGCTGGTGTTGCACAGGTGTCCTCTGAGCAGGGAAAAGCAGCCCGAGGCCACGGCTGGCGTTGCACAGGTGTCCTCTGAGCAGGGAAAAGCAGCCCGAGGCCACGGCTGGCGTTGCACAGGTGTCCTCTGAGCAGCCGGAAGCTGTGGCTGGCGTTGCACAGGTGTCCTCTGAGCAGCCCGAGGCCGTGGCTGGCGTTGCACAGGTGTCCTCTGAGCAGCCCGAGGCCGTGGCTGGCATTGCACAGGTGTCCTCTGAGCAGCCGGAAGCTGTGGCTGGTGTTGCACAGGTGTCCTCAGAGCAGCCCGAGGCCGTGGCTGGCATTGCACAGGTGTCCTCTGAGCAGCCCGAGGCCGTGGCTGGCGTTGCACAGGTGTCCTCTGAGCAGCCGGAAGCTGTGGCTGGTGTTGCACAGGTGTCCTCAGAGCAGCCCGAGGCCGTGGCTGGCGTTGCACAGGTGTCCTCTGAGCAGCCGGAAGTAGCCCGGAGGCCGCGGCTGGCGTTGCACAGGTGTCCTCTGAGCAGCGGGAGGCAGCCCGGAAGCCGTGGACAGTAGGGTTCGGGCGAGTGCGGAATCCGGGGGAGCTGTGCGAGGGAGCACCTGGAGCACCTGGGCAGAGGCAGGGAAACCATGAGCGGGGATTATGGAGGTTGAGTCCCGGACAGTGTTGACATTTAAAATTCAGAGGATTAGAAGGGATTTAATTTTTCAAAATAAAAAGTAGCCATGAAAATCACATTTTAAAGTTCGTTTTTAGTCTTCATCATCCTTAAGGCTTTTATGGGGATTTGTTCAGGCTGCAGGCTCTGAACATGCTTAAGTGCTAAATCATTTTGTTTTCATCAAAGGGTATAATATCAGAAGGGAACACTGTTATTAAGGAAATAGCCTTCCTTTCCCACATAAAATGTCTCGCCTGTTTGACAAATCTGATAAAAGTCTGGTAAGCAAGTATCACAGGAAGCAGGGAAGGGCTGGCCTCCGACCAGCGGCAGAGGTTGGTGAGCTTGAACAATGGCTGCAAGTTCAGGGCTCGGCGCAATGATCTGGCTTCCTGAGAGCCACAAACACAGGGCCGCGGGGACCCGTGGCCAGCGCTGCGTGCGCGGGAGTCGTGGTGCGCTCCCCTTGGAAGGCGGCCCACCTAAAATGATTCTCATGGTGGGAAGATACACGTCCAGTGTGCCATTCCAATCGCTTCTGAGTGACAGCTCGGTGGCATCTAGCACACTCGCACTGCTGTGCGGCCGTGCCCACCGCCATCCCGTCTCTTCACCCCTCCCGAAGCTGTCCCATCACACCCCAGCCCTCTCAGCCAGCCTCGCGCTTTCTGTCTCCGGACTTGACTCGTCTCGGGACTTCCGCTAAGTGGAGTCGAACGAGCCGTGGCTTTGCAGCTGGCTTACCCCCGAGCACACTGGAAGGCTGAATAGTATTCCTTGTGCGATGTGTTTTGTTTATCCATCCAGCCCCGGGGTGTGGGGGCATTTGCACCTTTGGGCCTGGGAACAGTGCTCCTGTGAACATTGGGGGCAGCACCTGAGAATCCCTGCTTCAGTTCTGAGCATTTCCCCGCCAGCGCAGCGGCTGGTTCCTGTGGCCGTTCTGTCGACCTCCTGAGAAACCGGCAGGGCAGCTGCACGGTTCGCAGCACCACCCGCAGGGCGCGGCTACGCGTCCGCCCGACCCGGTGCTCTCCCAGCACTACTGTCCTCCAGGTTTCTTGTCATTGCCGTCCTGGTGGGTGTGAAGAGCAATGTTGCTGTGGTTTTCTGTAACCCACCTTCTATTTACCCACATAGATTGCACCTGTTACAGCCATTTCTTATTTAATACACTCGGGGCCCACCGTCGGCCTACCTGTCTCTGCCCTCGTCCGTGTTCCTGATCTGTGGTGTGTGCCCCTCCCCCGGGCCAGGGCCGTGGGCTTGTTAGGCGGTGGGGGAGGTATGTTGAGAGCTCAGGAGAGATCATGTATTTGCAAATCATCAGCATCCATGGGAATTGAATGACAGAGACTGAACCGTATCACTCGGGAGAACCAGAGATTTCAGGGCAAAACGTAGACAAAGGCAGGAACATGGGTTTGCTGACGGAGCCCGGACAGGGAGAAGGAGCCACGCCGGGCAGGCACCAGGGGCAGCTGGGAAGGCTGAGGAAACAGCGGGCGAGGGGGTCACGGGGACGCAGAACGTGGGAGCTTCCAGGAGGACGCGGTCACAGGTTACGCCGAAGCAGGACTAAGAAGTGCCAGTTAGGAAACAGGAAGGGCAGTGTTGGGGGACACGGGGGAAGCCAGGGGACACGGGGTGAGCTCGGAGGGTTGCTCGGCCTGACTCGCGTGGCTCGGGAAACCCACAGGAGGAGGGTTCCTCGCAGGTGAACTGGGAAAGGACAGGTTTTCCAAAGAACTGTATAAACGCTAGTTTCAGTCTTCCAGCTTTCCTGAACTTTCTAAAACTGTTTTCAAATAAAAGCTGATTTGTCTCACAGTAGAACAGAAGGGAAGGGAAGGGAAGGGAGACATGGGTTCAGCTCGTCCCCAGCCTTTGCTGCAGTTGGCCAAGGGCAGCGCCCAGAGGAGGGAAGGAAGCCAGGCTGGGTTTGCGTCTGTGTCCTGGGGGAGGAAGTGTGCCGGCCGGAGGGGGCGGGAGAGGCAGGGCCAGGACTGCGGAGCGAGGTCTGGAGGGAGAGGGAGAAGAAACCGGACAGAGACGGGCTCGGGAGGGACCCAGGTGCGGGCCTCCTTCCCGGGGGGCTGTGCTCGTGCAGCGTCCGCACTGGGTGGGCTCTCTGTGAGCTGAGGTTATCTGCTGAGCTCCGCATGTCAGGATGTCCCACCTTATACATCACACCTCACAGAAGGCTGTTAGGTCTTCAAAGCGTTTGCCATTGCTTTGGGGGCTATGCAGTGTGTGGCCCAGCCTCAGCTGCCGGTGGGCGTCAGGACTCGGTCAAGCCGGGAACCGGAGCTCGGAATGTAGGAGTGAGAGGTCAATCAGAAAGTCTGTCCACTCCCTGAAGTTCTTGCCACACAGTCTGTATCTCCACTTCGTTGAGTGAAATAGGCTACCCTTAATATTGTTAAATCCTAGACTTAGTGAATGGAAACATTTAGTTGGTCGAGTTTGTGAATGTCCCTGTTTATTTTCTCCAAGGTTCTTGGTTTTTTGGGGTTTTTTTTTTTTGGCAAACTGCAGAGTGGATTCATTTAAAATTATAGTGTATCTATTGAAAGAGGCACTTTTAGCAGCTGATTTCTTCCTGTGTGCACTGAATTCATTTTCTCCGAGTTTCACAGACAGCTCGGTGCGCTGACACTTTCTCCTCTGTTGCTGTGGCCCACGCCACAGGGTCACCTATGTAGTTCTGTGTTTTTTTAACAATACGTTTTAATTGATTTTTTTTTTTAGGGAGAGAGATAGAAACATTGATGTGAGAGAAAAACATCGATCAGCTGCCTCCTGCACACCCCCTACTGGGGATCGAGCCTGCAACCCAGGCATGTGCCCTGACTGGGAATTGAACCGAGACCCCTCAGTCCATGGGATGGTGCTCAATCCACTGAGCCACACCAGCCAGGCACCTACATAGTTTTTTAAAACCATAAGCTTTCAGTATTGAAATTTAATTTGTAGCAAAATAGCATCATTGCTTTTTCTTTAAATTGCAATTCCAGTGAGAAGAGTTAATGATTCCTGTCTTTTTGTTTCGTATCATAAGGAATTTAGTTACCTTGGAGTATGGTTGAAGTATACAGTCCTTCTGGTGCTTGGTAGATTTAGCCAGAAATAGTTACCCAGCGAAAGTTCTGTGATTTTTCTAGTATTCAGATTTTATTTACATGTCTTATTATAAGTCTGATCGCTAATTATAGCATTGCCCTTGAGTGTTCAGGCTTTGTAATTGTAGTGTCACTCTTACCTTCTGAAGTCTCCCTGCCCGACAGAGTGAGGGTTACATTGTCTCCACCACTGTCTCGGTGGTATTGCTCCTTAAGTCTGTTTGAAACCTAGGTCATCTTTTCAGATGAAGTATATATTTTAATTTTTGACTGTTGGGTTTTTTTTCATATACAACATGCAAATTATTAATTAAAGCTTCCTACCTTGACGTTGAGGTATCTTCTGTGCCAAGTGTTAAAAGAAGCCTATTTTAGATTTGCAAAGACCCTGGAGCCAAAATTCCCGTAAAGACACTTGGATGTCTGTGTCAGCAGAAGAGCAAAGTAACACATCTATTTTAAGTCCGCTGGAATTCCGAAGCAGAACCACTGGGCTGAAGGCCTGCGGTCGCCGTCGCCTTGCGTCCCAGACGCACTCAGGGCTTCTGCTGCCCCCTGCTGCCCGTCGTGTGGGTGCTGCAACGAGAGGGGAGGAGTCTTGACGAATTCAGTCTTTTTTTCTTGTGTTTGTGGGTATAGTACGTCTGAAATTATGGGTAGGTTAAAAAGTAAAATATTCTGAAGTTAAAATCAAAGTGGTTGGAACATTATAATGTAATTTCAACTTACCAATTTTTCAGGCTTTAAAGATTGGAAAATTATCAAGGTTCTTTTTGACATTACATTTTTCTTTTTTTTTTAGTCATAAAGTAACTGTCAAGAGAGGGGCTTCGTTTTTAAGCCTCAGGCAGTGTGTCATGCTGATGAGCAGCTAAGACCGGGTCGGGCCCATTGTCCTGCCGTTTATTTGAGACTGTTAGCATGGCACTCGGGGACGGAATAGGTGGGAAGGTAAGAGGAATCTGTCTCAGTTCCACTTACCTGGCCCTGGATCCGTGATCTGGACGGAGGTGGGGGTGCTTGACGTTGACGAAGGAGAACGGTTTGTTTTTCACGCAGTTGTTTCCACTCTGCAGACTGTCCTGACTGTCCTGTGTGTGAGGTGCTGCGCCGGGCTGTGGGGGAGCGGAGCCCAGCACACCGCGGAGCGCTCGCTGCGGTCCAGGGCGCGTACGTTCATCCTCAGCGAGTGGGCGCTGGGCTGTGGTGCCCCGCTGGGCTTCCCCAGGGTGAAGTTCTCGTGTGTGTTAAACAGTTCTCTCTCGGAAATTGCTTCAGATTGAACCTGCAGAACCTGAACCTGCAGAACCTGATCAAAATCAAATGCGGATTTTTATTGGTAGGGTAATATTTAGCTGTTTTGATCAACTTAATTGGTAGGGTAATATTTAGCTGTTTTGATCAACTTAATTGGTAGGGTAGCTGTTTTGATCAACTATGGATTCCACTTGAATTTTGAGTGACAGGGTAGTGTTTAAAAACATACCCAGAAGGGCCCAGCCGGTGTGGCTTAGTGGATTGAGCGTCGTCCCATGCAGGGAGAGGCCACCAGTTTGATTCCCAGTCAGCACATGCCTGGGCTCCTGCTTTGAGGCAGCCCATCCATGTTTCTGTCCCATCGATGTTTCTCTCCCATCGATGTTTCTCTCCCATCGATGTTTGTCTCTTCCCTCTCCCTTCCTCTCTCTCTAAAAATCAACAAAAACATATTAAGTATATATATGTGTGGTATGAAACACATATATATATTCTCCAGAAGATAAAGGGATAAAGGGCATCTACAATAGAGTTCCCTGTTACTGCTTAAAATAATAAAGTTACTGCTTTAACACCTTTGGTTGTTTTTTTTCAATCTTCAATTCGATTTGGTGTGCAGGAGAATGAGCGGAGACAGACACATGAATGATGGCGAGGTCCTCTAACGTACGGAGAACACACGAAAACGCACTAGAACTGCACAGACATAGGCGAGTCATTGAAAAGTGAAGCCATGCCGTGTACTGTGTCACCTGCTGTGGGCATCAGCCCATCACAGTGCACCGTGGGGCCTGGTGTTCAGACCCGTGCCCAGCCTCGTCGGGGCGCCGTGTGGTGACCTTAGGTCAGGGGCTGAGACTCGGGAGGTGGGGGAGCCCTGCCCTCAGAGTGGAGCCCGCTTGGTGTGACTGCTGTCACCTGCCAGCTGTGTGCACGGCCAGGTCCCCTGCCTCCCTTGGGCATCGAGACGGGCCTGTGTCACAGAAGCTGCGGCAGAGACTTGAGGAAGAAGGCCATTGTTTAATCAGCGAGAACAGTGGTGTCAACCATTTTAACCTATCACCACACTAGTAGAGAGTGTTGAGGAGCTCGAACCTTTTGTCTCTGTAGCAGCATCTATCCCTGTTTGCTGTGTTAGGCATTAAAACGGAAATACTTATTCATTTAAAGAAGATGTGCTTCACTCACGCGTGATTTTATAACATCCACGCATCCTCATCTGGGAAATGCTGGTTTGCTAAATTATGTAAGTCTTCCAGTTGTTGGAAGACTTTACATATCTTTTTAAAAATACTGTTTGTTAATGTCACCACAGACTTAAGCAGAAAGTCTTTATAATTATTGGGAAGCTGCAGAACTCGTCGTGGTGGATACAAGTATTCCGAAATTCTCACTTTCATCTGAAGGCTTGAATTTCTTCATTGGTGCTGAACAGGGCCGGCTGTTTTTCTTGAAGTCGCGTGTTCTCTTCTTTAATTTTCAAGAAAATTTCTGCCAAATAACCAAGTCTGAATAACCAAAGTTCACCACCTTTTCGAGTACAAATGGTGTTCCGCTGCGGAGATTAAGTAGAATGATTTTCCACTTCTTACTCCGTGAGTCGCAGTCAGTGGACGGCGGCTGGGCAGCGGTGGCGTCACATTCTGCACGTCATGATCCAGGGGCTGCTCCCAGCGCGCCTGCGGGGGGGGGGAGCAGGCGTTTCCTCATCACCAAGCGTGGAAGCGGACATCGAAAGGGGTCAGAGTCTTGCTAAAGTTACCAGCCAATCGGTAGTGACCCCGGGCTTCACTGAGCCCTCTGTCTTCAAGGGCAGGCTGCCGGCTGCTTCCTCAGCCTGTGGCTCCTCTAAGGGGACCCAGGCCCGGGAGCGGCATTATCCGGGAGCCGTACTCTTGCAGGTGCAGCAGCCGGGGAAGGGCCTGCGTTCTGCATGAAGGTCAGGACAGGGCCTCTGAGTCTTGAAGGGTTAGTGTGTGTTTGTTCATCGGGAGAACGGAAATAACTGTTTTTCTCCCTCCTCTGCTCAGGCTGTAGAAAAGAAGTTAAGAACTTGGAAGTGGGCTGTGAATCTCCTGAGTTCTGCCCAGAACCACATCTACAAATAAAAAATGCTTTGACTAAAAGGTAATACAAGATGTTTGGAAATATTAAAATATTTTCTCTTAAATGCACACACTAGAGGAATTCTTTGTTTACCAGAATGGCCCAGATACACATGACTCTTGGAGCAGGGTCTGCAGGGCACTGGGGCCCCTCCGCTGGGGCCGCTGGGGGAGGCTGGGGGAGGCTGGCCCGGGAGAGGGTCTGCCGCAGCGGTCGCACCAAGTAGATGGCGTTTTACCAAAGGAGAAGCGGGGACTGAGATGAAGTGATTTGGCCGCAGCAATGGAGCTGAAACCTGAAATTGGTCTTGTCTCTAGCAAAGCTCAGTCCCTTCCCTCCAGTCTAAGGGGTTCTGGGCAAGTCCCATGGTGACAGTCAGCAGACGAGGAGGAACTTTGCCATGGGATAGCTTTTATCCTCACCTTAGAGGTTCACTATTACCTAAACAGATGTAATCTTTTTCTTGTTTTTTTTTTTTTTTGGTATGTGCCCCTAGTGGGAACCAAACCCGGGAACCCAGGACTCTCTGGTCCGCATGCTGACGCTCCAACAGCTGAGCCAAACTGGCCAGGGCTGTAATCTTGGTTAACTACTTGATCTTAAATGAGGATAGCATCCTTATGTGTCAAAATCAAAGTACCTCCGTTACTGTGAACTTGGTCATGTCAGTTGGGACATGTTTTCAAGTGTTTGCTGAAGTCTGTGCTACATTTGATCACAAATGACTGTAATTTCCGGGTTTGCTGGTTGAACTTTGTTTTCCTAACCACACTTGCATTGGTGACGGTGGTCTGGGAAGCAGGCCTGTGTTCTGCGTGAGGGTGGGAGAGGGGAGTGTGATGCTAATGACCCACCTACTGCGTTCCTGTTGTCATGTCAGCAGAACAGCCTAACCTGCACATTGGGGGGGTCGAGGGGGAGCCCGGGGTATCCCCCAGTTGTGCCCGTCTGCACGCGGGCTGCAGCGTTGTTCCGTTGCCTCCTCCAGGTGCCATGGACGGGACCCCAGTGGAAAGGCACTCCCTGTGCCCAGGCCGCCAGTGCTCAGGGACCGCACGGCTGGGGAGCAGGCCCACCAGTCCGATGGACAGAAACCTGAAAACTCAAGCGGATGCAAATCCTCTGAGAGGGCGAGTGTGGGAAATTCTGAGAGAACAGCTTTACTTTTCCACGCGGATGATGGTTCTGCCCCTGGAATGAGACCGAACAGTGATGATGTCGCCTCGCCAGCCTCAGTGTGGCCCCCACACGTGAGAACTAGGGGGGTGAAGCCCAGCACCGCCCCCCGCCCCCCGCCGCGCCCTGCCGTGGAACAGTGTTACCCCGAGAGCTCGCCGCCCAGCGAGCGTGGGGCGCGGGCCCCGGGCAGGGCCGACGGTGGTCAGCTGCCGAAGCCCGTTTGCCAGGACCTCCCGCCCCCTCTGCCACCAAAACAGTACGCCAGGGGCAGCGTGCCACAGGCCGGGAACCGCGGCCCGGCAGCTGGTGTGGGGCTGCCAGAGCCGCCCGGGGCCACCTCTGCTGACCTTCCGAAGCAGGGTGCGGGCGCCCCCGAGCCGGGTGCAGCAGCGGCCGCTCGGAAGGAGGACCAGGGGCTCCGGGGGACGCCCCCGGGGAGAGAGCCCGTGGGTGCCACCCGGGACTGCCCGGCCAGCGCAGTGGCCAGCGGGCTCCAGGCCGGCGCGGGCTCAGTGGTCGCTGTGTTGTGCCAACCAGAGGTAGACCCCGGTGCTCCCTGTCCAGTCTCGCTCACTACCTACTTTTCTGTCGACAGCTGCATGACTGACACGTACAGGCTGAAATACCATCAGCGGCCCAAGCTCTGTTGTCCGGAGAGCACCGGCCCCTGTGATGAGAATTCGGTATCTCAGAGCGAGAGGGGGCTAGGACCTGTGTCGCACAGCAGTCTTGGTTCAAACCGCCCTTCTGAGCAAAGACACAAGCCTAGTATACATTGTGACAGGTAAAGGACCACACCAGGAACCTTACATTCCCAGAGGCCATTAAACAGTAGGAATCGACTGACCGAACCTAGTGACACATGCAGTTCAAGCCATGGTATCTTAAAAGTCATCAGTTTAACTGTCTATATTTTTTATTTCATGACAATCAACTTCCTGAATGTTTTAGAAATCCCTTTGAGTAGTCTTGGCATATCTCGAAAAACAGAACATGAGGGGTGTGCTGCAGCTGGATACACATGGACTCTGTCGCCGTCCCTTGTGGCTGGTGGCCCTCGTGTGTGGATGGTGAACTGCTAGCGGGCGATGCCAGGGAGGTGTGGTTTGAGCAGGCCACGCGGGACGGGCTGAAGAAGCACTTTGCGGTGGGGGACGCAGGGACGCTTCGCCGTGGCGCTCTGGCTTCTGTGAACGCCAGCTTCCTGTGGTCTCCAGTGTCTTAGAAGGCACCGACCCATGGGATTGATAGCATTTGGGGGAAAGCCTTAACGATAAGAGATTTAAAATTCACTTCTGCAGTTCAGAACAGAAGCAGCTCAGTTTTGCTCGTCTTCAGAACGCCTGTCAGCGTGGAGCCGGCCTTTGACTGTTGTAGTGATGAACGCTACTACAGCCCGGTAAGCCAAACGTAATTAAAGTAGTTTTACAATAATGCTTCTGTCTTGTTACATCCCCCCCGCCCCATTTTATATGCAATGTGAATGGTTTTTATTTTGGTTTGTTTACGTTGGGCTGCTGATATCCAGGGTCAGGAACTGACCTGGTGCCCCCCTGGGAACCTCACTGTGGCCTCACTGACTGCCCGCCTCTTCCCTGTCTATAGGTTGGCGACCCATTTTGTTGACTTTCTGATTCTTGGCTCTGAAAATCTTTCTGGGTTTCCAGATAAAATTTCTGTCTTTCATTTAGAAGGTTTGATTTTAATGAAATATCCTTTCTCACTGTGTTCATGGAGAGGACTTTATTTTAAATAAAAGTAAAGGGATCTTCCATTATTATGATGACCTTACAAGTGTGGAAATGAGTTACTCTAACTGCCTTTCTTCATCACTTGTCACTTCATTCTGTGCTGAGCGAGTCAACTAACTGTGGCTCGTTTATCTTGTCCATGCCGGAGAATTAACAATTACAGAATTAACATTTTTCTTGCATTTATCAATGGATAGTTTATAGATTATAACCTAATAATTCTATAAACTATTAAATTTAGTATTTTGACCAATTCCATAAATTAAAATATTCTAAATGTAAATGATTAAAAATACTTCTGGACAAATACAAAGTAATTGTTTATAAAAGTCTAACTTCACCTATTATCAAATCTTAGTCAGAGTTGTCTTCCACCAAGATAAGTTTTTAATAGCCTTTTTAAACTATAACAGTAATTATTACTCACTTAATTTAGAAATACTTGAATGTCAACTAAATTAAATTTCATCTTTTAAGAAAGCTTATTTTTTAACATAACTTTTAGTATGAAACATTTGTAAATATTGTAAACTTTGTAAAATTGTATTTGGAATGCCAGTGTATAGAAATACTGCTTTTATAACATTGTAAAATACTAGAAAATGGGCGTTGGGTATTTTTAGTAGCTTTCAAAGACCTTTGTGTAGGTTTCTTGTTGTTTATTCTATTTGGCCAAGATGTCCAGTTGAAATGTATCATTTGAAATACTTAAACTAATTCCTGATATTTAACAGCAGTCTCATGCATTTGTATTTTCAACTCACAACTGAGCTGCAAACGTCAACTAGAAATGTCCCCGTTGGGCTGTCGCTCAAGTCCTCTGCAGTGGAGACACCGAGTCATGTGACAGTGCTCTAACAACTAGAAACTGACCAATTGCTTTTCTGTTGACCCAATACTCTGAATATAGTTTGAATGCATATTTAGTAACTAATAATTCACATGTAAAGTTTTTATTTTTAGGGTGCCTATTTATTTTTATAGGTGTTTTCTTGATTATAAGCTTATTACGGTAACTTTTGAAATAATGCAACCAATTGCAATGTTCAAAATACTTGTCTTCCAGATGTTCTATTTTCATGTGAAATCAATTCCTCCTGTTCAAAAAAAATTTTTTTTTTTAGATTAAACTGATCTTTAAGTTGATATGGTTGGACTTTTCTTTGCAATCATGAACTGTGGCTTTCTCTCCCCCAACGTGGATTATGTATTTTATGAGGAATATAAGCCAGTTTAAAGCTCAGGGGTACCTGGAATATCACTGATCATAAGACTGTCACAGGAGGCTCTGAAGAGTTCAACCCCAGTGCCCAGAGGAGCTGGCAGTGTCCGTGAGGAGCCGGATAGTCAGTAATGCAGGCCGTGGACCGCAGGGTCTCTAGAAACAGCTGCTCAGCTCTGCCAGGGCGGTCGGTGTGTGCGCCAGGTAAACGGCCCGACATTGAAACGAGATTTCATACCATTTTTATATGTCAGGAAATAGTCAATCTCTTTTCCATCATCTTAAGATGTAAAAATAATTCTTAGCTCACAGGCCTTATAAAGAGAGGCCATGGGCCAGATTTGGCCTTTTAGCCATATTTGATGACTTTTGTTCAGAGCCTTGTCTACACGGAGCACCCTTACTGACGCTAAACATCCCGTGGCCCCTGAACGGAGTCCTGTGCCAGTTGGGGGCTGGGGTCATGGAGTACTTGACATCTTAAAACAGACCCCCCAGGCTTGACATCTTAAAAAAGACCCCACTAGACTTCCTCACAATTGCTACTCAGCCAGTTCTTTTCAAATGATTCTTACAACACTCACTTTACCTATAAGAAATAAAGCTTGTGACATCTACCAGGTTAAAATCACATCGCTGTTACTCTTTTGGTGTCTTTGTTTTTGTCACAGCAAGTGTGCCGGCTTTTCCTGGTGTCCCATTTACCAGTGTGGGCACTGTGAGCAGTCACCGTGCGAGGGGCAGCTCCGTGGCAAGTGCAGTTTTTCATTCGGCACCCAGGGGCGTCAGCCCCCAACTGCCACATTTGTGTTCACAGCCTGAACACAGCCCCCCGTCTTCCCTGCGCCAGAAGTGCTCAGACTATCCCGCGGTTGTGGTCGGTCATAGGCTGGTTTTAGGCTCAGAAAGGTAGTATGGATAAGTCTCTGTGTGTGACTTAACATTAAGAAAGCTATCTGAGAACTGTTAATCCTGTCCCAACCGCAAGTGCAAATCAGACCAAATTTAGCTATACAATAAACCTTTATTGGACAAAATTATTAGCCAGCAGCACAAAAACAGTTCATACAATGTTTGGATATTCAAGGAAATCCCAGTTGTGTTTCTCTAGATGCTCCAACCTTTGCCAAAAGGTTTTCTTAAGACAGATGCAACAGTACCCTGAAGGCATGATTGTTTCCCTTAGTCGACAGCAAAAATGTCCAAAATCAGTCCCAGATTCCACTATAACCCTAAGTGCCATTCTGAAAGGTAGAGGACACACAGTTTGCCAGATCTCTGCCCTGATTCACGGGGGGGGGGGGGTATCCCCAAAATACGTAGGCAATTCACATATAGCAAATGTTACCAATTTTGACAAAGGCCGTTTCTAACATTTTATATAAAGGAATATCTGTTCTATAAAAGGAATAGCTCCTGAAGGGCTGATGGCAGCCACTCTGGGAGTGTGACCTAGTGACTCACTGCCAACCGAGCACTCCTGGAATGTCAGACCTTGTTAACATATTTACATGCAAAACCAGGTGGCAAGCTTCATGAAAAAGTGCTCAAATATTTGTGGAATGAGTCAATATGCTGACTTTGCTGAAGCAGTTTAAGTTATAGAAATTATAAAAATAAACGTATTTTGGCCACAAGTATTCTTAAGGCAGCCCCAGTAACAATACAATACTGGATACTGTACACTTCCCCAAGACCCTATGAACCTGGCAGCCGCAGAGACCCTCTTCGTCTAAAAAGTAAATTGGATTCTACTTTGTAGACCTGCATTTTCTGTATAACTTTTCAGTCCTTTTCTCAAAATCCTTCCCTTGCTTTTGAGTAATTTAATTTTAGAAACTTCACCTTATTGATTCACCATATTATATGCATCACACTAAACTCTGACCAACCGTTAAAATATTAAAGGAAAGACATTACTGTAGTTCTTAATGAATACACTAAACTTTTCTGTATAAATATTTTAATTCAGCTCCTGTGAAGCCATCAGCTGTTTGAAAAAGATTTTACACATGAATCAAAGAGTCTAGTTTTAAGAACTTAGCTGTGAATGGGTGAGATCATTACCCATTTAATCTAGTCCCCAAAAGAGTAACGAATGTGTAAAAGGAAAGAAGGTCCTTTAGAGTTTGAAATTCTTCTGTGGAACAATCCTGTCTATCTTCTTTGTTCAAGAAGTATTCACGTTCAGAATCCAGTCCATAAGCCAACTTCTTAATGTAGGCATCAGGCAGTCCATCTGTAAAAACCGAGTATTTGTCAGCAGTGTTTCCTTCTTCTTCCTATAATATCACTTGACACCAACTTCTGAAATTGAAGATCTCAGTGACTTGCCTATTCCTAACAACTGACATTGATAAGAACAACAACAACAAAACAGCCTGCACTATTCATCAAAAAGCTTGTTTTCTACCCAGAGCTGAAAATTCAGGTCATTACCAAAAAAAAAAAAAAAAAAAATCAATAAATCACTATACTTGAGTTATTTCTTTACCAAAAAAGAAGGGGAAGTGGAGAACAGTGGAAACTCTCTGTTTACAAATGATACCACGGAGGATTTTATCAAAATACCCAACTCTTCCATTTGCCCACTCACCCCTCTCCCTTCCAAGGTGCCACAGAACCAAGAAACCAGAGACAAAGGGGCCACCGGTAGGACCTTACGCCAAAATCTTTGCCAAAACGTGGGCAACGGTGGGTGGGGAGTGCCAGCCAATTCCTAAGGGGTGACGGAGAGAAGACCCAAGTCCAGGGAGCAGGTGGATTTCTACATGAGCGCACGCTCTTCTTCCACAGGCGCCTCCTTGGCTCCCCGCTTCTCTGCTCCAGGGTCCCCGGTTCGCCTCCGTCCCGCGGCCCTCTCCTGCCCGCCCGAGCTCCCTCCCTCCCTTCCCGCGGCGGGTCCCCGGAGGCAGAGCCCCAGGCGCCGACGGCCCGGCGCCGGGAGGAGCGCTCACCACGGCCACAGGTACACGAGCAGGAACAGCACCAGGTCCACCAGCACGAACAGCCAGAGGTCCAGCCAGTACGAGTGCTTGGGCAGCCGGTCCGCCGCGGCCTGCGGCCGCACCTGGTGGTTCTGCTGCGGCCTCTCGGCGTCGCCCAGGCCTCGCCGCGCCCGGGGTCCGTCCGGGCCGCCGCCCGCCGCCGCGCCCGGCTCCATCGCGCACCAGCTCCGGCTGCTGGAGACGCCGCAGGTCGCGCACTTCCGCCTTCCCGCGGCCAGAAAGCGGACTCAGGCCGCCGCCTACGCATGCGCGTGCCCCGCCCCGGAAGTGGGCTGGGCCCGTCCCGCCCCCGCCCGCGCGCAGGCGCCGCCCCTGCCCGCTGCCTCCGTGACCGCCGACAGGTAGCGCGACGGGCTCGGCGGCCGCCACCCAGCTACCCGGCCAGCGGGTCCGCCCGTCCGCGTGCGGCCTCGGGGCGGGGAGCTGCCCGCTCAGGTATCCCTGGAAGACGTGCTCTGGCCGGCCCGGAAGTCGCCGTCACGCCCCTTCTGGCCGCCCGGCGCCTCCCCTCCCCCAGCCGGCGCTCCGGGCTCGGTGCCTGGGGTTCAGGACGGTTCAGCGCTGTGGGCAGGTCGCACCTGTTTGATGGTAGTTTTTGTTTGTTTTGTTTTTATTATACATTTTAATAGTTGTTTTATTGAGGGAGTCAGGTTACTCGAATGTTAACTGGTTGGAGGCAGAGGAAAGAAACCTGCTGAAAGC